CAACGTAAACTGGACCTTACAGTCAATATTGAAATGTTTGATAATAGTAATCATTCTTTTACCTCTCTTGAATGTAAGGTTCATATAAAATATTTAGGTGTCTTATTGGATAGTCATTCGAGTTGGAAATTTCACTCCTCCCCACAAACGTGTGGGGAGGAGCGTTGCGTGACGAGACTAAAAACGGCTGCGAGGGAGACTAACCAACAACCTGTATGTAATAGCTGAAGTTATAAGAAACCGAGACAGTAAACTATGGAAAATTATCACAGATACTCCTTCCCACCCCCTTTATCAACTATTACTGTGAGACGCAGAGGTTTGGCTTTAGAACAGCTTTTATTGGCACATAAAAGAAACACGGCTAGCCGCACATGCTTAGCAAAACAAAGACGCAATGTCTCGTAGGTGCAAAGTTTATATACGTCAAACAGTGTCCGATGTCAGCACGTGGCTGCATGGCGTGACATTATCTTATGTCACGCCATTCGATAATCATGTCTATAAACAAAACTTTAAGCACAAATTGTCACAATTACCTCCTAAGAAACAGAGATGTTTGCGAAACAGAGGACATGATTTTATTTTACCTGCTGTGAAAACAGAACGCTTTAAGAGATCCTTTATTAACAGATGTCTTTTTAATTTTATTTAATTGTACTTGATCTTAAATTAATTGTTTGTGAAGTCACGGGTATGCTGTGACTACATGAATTAATGAATGAATAAAGACTCTTATTATACAGGACGCCTGATTGGTTGTTAATAACGTATCGTTAAATTTAAATTTGTGGCGCTAAACTGAATGTCAACATAAGAATCTGAGAAAGAACAACGCTACTAAAATTTGAAGGCTGAGGTCTTTTCCACTCGATTCAACGTACTCAACCACTAATTTCAGGTAAATCCGAAGCAAAACTGTAATTAAGCCTAATTTAATTTTTTTTTTTGCAGGAATTAGTATGTTATGTAGTAAAGCTTCCCAAGTAATAACGGTCCACTGGTTACAAAATCGTTGCAGAAATAATCATTGCTGTTTTCGGACAACCACGATATTTTTCCCTTTTATAAATAACTAGACTAGTTAAAAATGTGCTGGAAAACTATAAGATCTTTGAGTTATCGCTGGTTTGTCTAACTAGCTCTTTCGGATTTGAAATCTAAAACGTTCCAAGAACTGCTCGGAGATTGCATCTGCAACGTTATGAGTCAACTGCCGAAGAGATGCCAGGTCCTTCGAAGCTTTCAGTCCTTCTTTGTTTCATACGTCGCTGAATGTAGTTCGGCTTCCATTTGAGCAAATCTGCTCAGCGCCGAGCAAATCTGCATCATTACGCCGGGGGTCACGCACGGAGACTCACCGCGAGCGTTTCACTACTCGCATACTTTGAGGTAAAAGCGCTTTTCAAGGAAACCAAACACAAGAACCGCTTGAATCTAGCTACCAAGCAAAGTTTCAAGCGATGTATAATTTGTGTTATTTGCCTTTCAAGATACTTCTGCCCTTTGCCGAGCACGGTCTCAAATAGACTAAATGCCCGGCGTCAGAAATATTCTTAGATTTTCGACCGAAAGGTTCCTTCAAGCCTCTTAGGAATATTAGATGTCTGTTTAGCATTGTCAAGCGACTCCAAAATATTTATTTGGTTTTTCAGAGGACGAACTCTCTAAGCTTGAGCACATTAAAAGATCGCTCGGTTGTCGCTACGTTTCTGATCAGACTGCCCGACACGGTCTCGAACGGCATTTTGGTGAAAATTTCTAACTGCCGGATATTTCGTCCATTCGAGATCGAGCCCAGCAGTCTGATCAGAAGCGTGTAGACAACCGAGCGATCTTATAGTATGCTCCAGCTCGTGGAGTTTGTCCACTGAAAGCCAAACTGGTATTTTTTTAATTTGGATATATCAACAAAGTTGAAATGGTAAATTGGCCACCGTAACGAGTACAAAAGCTGACGTTTCGAGCGTTAGCCCTTCGTCGGAACGATATTTTTTTAATCACTCGACATTTATAAACACTCATCTGATAATCCCAAGAAGTTTGAAAGAACCTTTCGGAATCTGTGGAGATTTCTGCCGGGCATTAAGTTTATTTAAGACCGCGCTCGATCTGCTGCCGGGCATTTTGTCAGTGTTTAAAATATGTAAAGGAAATCGCGGACTTTGCGGCCAACGTTATTTGCATTTTTCAGATGCCGTTACGGGCAAAGTAACGCAAGTACGTCAAGTGTCGACGAGCTGATCTTGTATTACGTTATAATTCGCAAACTCGCTTACTAGGCCAGAGAAGAACTAGATCGTACAAAAACAAAAGCACTCAAAAAAGAGGACATACGACACTTCCAATTTTGCATCCAATGTTTTTTTAGGATTTAGCTAAAGGCTTCGCCATATTAAGATTTTTTTTTTTTTTTTGAGTAACCACTGAATATTTTTCTTCTTACCGAATCTCTCAGATTTTGGTTTGGAAAAAAAGTCCACCTGACCTTGTGAACCGGCAGATGGTGATGCGAGCTCTGATATTCCATCATGTACAGATGTCAATAACAGTTAAGACAAGAACGAAGAACTAGAACTACTTCAAATGTCTGATCAAAGAAACTGCAGAGGCAAGCACGACGATTGCCTTGAAAATGACTCCCAAAAGCATAAGAACAGAGCATTGAGTTTGTCACAAAAGATACTACAAACATCAAAAGCAGTAAGTGATGAATGTAATTACGCTCTGAATGCTTCTTGTCAGGGAGGAGGTGTGGTTGTGGACAGCGGTGAGACTCCCCATGCACTAACCACAAATGGAGCATGTGGCTTTGATAAAGATTGGAGTCCTCCAGAAAGACGACGAGGAGATCCTCATGAGAGTAATTTGAAAACAAAAAGATCTCTTGGTTTGAAGGGCGGACAAAGAGACTATTTTCCATCAGGCCATAGTACACAAAGGGATCCCAGTGAGGATGACTTTGAATCCATTCACATCGGAATACATCCTAGTTTTCTCGCACGCCATTCTGCTGAGTACTGCGATTCTTGTGGCCCATTTAATGATCTGGAAGTGCTTTCAGATATCCACTCCATGCAACACAGGTCTAAGTATGTTCCTGAAAGGAATTACCTTCCTCTCCCAAGTTCGTCGACATTTCCTGAATACCCTGATTTGAAAAAATGTTATGCAGGAGATCATTCTACCTACAATATCCCCATTGGGTCTCCTCCACAAAAGAAATTGAGTCCCGATGGGTATCAACCTCAAGAGTCATCCCTCAACTTATTCCTGATGCCTAAGACTGTTCCGGCGAAGACCTTAAAACTACCTCCATCATCAAGCTTATCTAACAATGGATTGAAGGCAAATATTCCGTTGACAGTCACACAGCTCACTGATGATATACAGGCTAGAAACTCGCCAAATATCTCCACAGATGTAAACATACTCGCCGGAAGGCCGACGTTCGCTTCGCAATTTGAAACAGCAAACGACGGTCTTGGTATTCTTCCTGACGGGAAGAGTGCAGTAGCTGGACTGGGTCTGTTAGACAGTAACTCAAACACATTTTCGGACGAATCTTTGGCTGCACTCGAGCGACGTGTGGCTGAAGCTTGCTCGCTTGTCGAAAGAACGTTGAAAGAAAGACAAGAAAGAGGGAAAGCCTTGAAAGAAACTGAGCAGAAAAGAAAAGAAGAGCGGACAAGGCAAGAACAACAGGCACGTGAAAGAAAAGAAAGGGAAGCCAAGGAAACGAGAGAAAGGGAACACAGGAATGAAAGAGTAGAAGGGAACGCGAGGAGTGATGGAGGAGAAACTCCATCGCAAGACTCGGCTGTTGCTGAGGATCGACAATGGCTGTGTGAACATTATCAACGGCTCTGCCGTGTCAAGTTCCCATGCTGTGGAAAATTCTTTCCTTGTCATCGTTGCCATAACAACTCTGGGTGTCCAAATGACAATTCCAAAGCAAGAGAGGCGTGTTATGTTGAGTGCTCTGTTTGTAGTCATCAACAAGAGGTAAATAAATGTGACATTGACTTGAATTTTTTTTATATATAAATGTGCACATGTAGTTGTTTCACGTAGGTTATAAACGATTGAACTTCGATCTTTTATCCTTTAAGATCAACCAGGACGCCCACACCTGTGCCAGATGCAGAACAAGGTTTTCAGCATATTTCTGCTCTGTGTGTAAACACTTTACTGGGGAAGATAAAGCTCCTTATCACTGCAAAAAATGTGGTATCTGCCGGTAGGTGAAACAATATTCATGACGAACTTCGATTTTTGTTTGTTCGATGATGTTCTTGTTTTTCAAAGGACGGTGAGAGAGTAATTCGGGTTGGGCTTCAGTATGAAGTGTTATTGTAGGAATGAAGAACCCTGGCGTTAATAGGATAGAAAACTGCTTGATCGTACGCGCATAAAGCACTCCACTCCCAGTGTTTTCTCATACACCTTTGCGGAACCGTACTCAAAAGATACTTGAGTAGCAGTGAATATCATTTCTTGTTTCCTTATGAGGTTTCCTTTCCAGTAATTGAGTCGAGCACATATTTAGGGCTTTCACATTACAGAAACTTATTTTCTCAACGAGTCATGTTAAATTTTGCTCAAGTATTAACCTGGGAATTGATTTTCCTATTTTCTGTTCAGCATCTACAAGGACCGCTCCTTCCACTGTGATGTGTGTAACGTCTGTCTGGACAAACGGCTGGAAGGCAGACATTCTTGCCGAGAAAATTCAGGACATGATGAGTGCTGCATTTGTTTGGAGGTAATGACTTACTCTTCGTACCTGACTAACCCTGTGTTGTTGGAAAACTTCATAAGAAGGAGTTTTCTCTGTTTTGTTCTGTTTGTTTTACCGCGTTTCATGTTTGTCGCGTCTACTTGTTAATTTATTTGTAATTCTGTTGTACTCTATACTTTTTACTTTATGATTTCAAATCGTTGTGAAATGTTACTGTCGTTATCAGTTGTGTTTTATCCATAAATCTAGCTTAGTTCGTAAGTCAATTAAGTTTATGCTAAATTAAATAAGTCTGGATTTCGTTGAAGTGAATGTTTCTTCTTATCATTTATACTACGTTTGAACGATTTCCTGTCCGGTAGTGAGGGAGTATGGATTTCTGAAAAACTTTCAATAAAGGATAAATACCCGTTACCCTGGTTGCACACAAAATCAGTTCTGTAAGAGGAAATAATGTCCGATAGAGTTTTCTCTCCTTTTCTAATTACAGCCTTGTTATCGACACTGAAAGTGACATCTGCTACATGCAATGTTTGAAAGACAAATCTAGCAACAGACAAAGAGAGCCTGTTAGTTTTTCTTAGCTTGGTTCTGAGTAAACAAGAAAGTGTTTTATAAGAATTATTAGAAAAAACGAATAAAAGTTAAACTGATTGATAGTACCTGAAAATATCATTTTACTTAATGGACGTTTCAAACACTTATTTTCAGGACGCGTTCAGCGGTTGTCAAATTCTGCCATGCTCACACAAGGTTCATAGGGAGTGTGCTATTGCAATGATACAGAATGGCGTGTAAGTAACGAGAAAATTTTTCACCAATTAAGTAACATAACGAGGGGAAGGTTCCGGCGGTCCCCTCACAATTTACCGGTATCCAGTCAAAATTCTGAATCGGATTTGTATGTGAACAGAGATTTCTCTCACCATTTTCACTGCATTACTGCAGTAGGGTAGGACTAGAACGGAACATATGGGATCCATGCGAGTAGTCCACCCATTAAATCCCACCCATCCCACCCCAGGGGAGGACATCCATCACACAGTAATCTCGTGCGTGGGAAATTAACGTCTCCTACCCCATTCGTCCCTCTCCGAGAAGACTAGAATATCTAACCATTACTTGATGTTATAGAAAGGTAGCATATTCTTCTCAATTATTTTAACACCTTGAGTGTTGGTCCGGCCGGGGCTTGAACCCTCGACCTCCCGCACAAAAGTCCAGCGCTCTATCCACTGAGCTAACCGGGAGGCGGTTAAATGTGGAGTTATAATTAGCGGAAGGTGTAAGGGGCAGTTGCCTGACCCTGTCTATCCCTCAAATACTAAATGGGTGAACTGAACTCTCGAAACTTCAGCTTTCAAACTCTTTACGGTGGCCAATTTACATCATCAACTTAATTGAAAAAAACAAATTTAAGTTGTTTTAGTTTTACCCGTAGTTTTACAAAGCATGATCTTGACTTGAATGTTCTTGCGCTTAATCCAAACAAGTTTAACTTACGTTCAACTCAAATATTTCATTCTGATTTTCAGTCGTAGCTGCCCAATTTGTCGTCATCCTCTATATAGTCCGACAAGTGGCAACGAGTGAATGACAACGTCTATCCCAGGCCTTTCTCCTCTTGCCTCGGTGATAAAGTAGAGAGGACCCTGGGAATGAGGCTGAAAGGAACATTACTTACCTCCTTTTGTTTATTGTTAAGTGTTCAGTGTTTTAGTCTTAAACATGTTTAAGCATAAATTCTATAACAGGTTTAGTAGTTTAATTCAATCGAGTTGTCCGATCTTCGGGGTAAAAATATTAAAAGCCCTGGGAAGGAATGTTGTCGGTGGTAGAGACTGACGTTTCGTTTTAGCGGGAATCATCATCAGATTAATTGAACTCTGACGATGTCTTCAGGTAAGGTTGTCGAAACGTTAGTCACTAGTACTCAGGACTTCTCTCGCCCGGATGATCAGGCCACGCAATCAAATTTTACTCCAGCTGGTTCAAATCATTTACTGTATTACCTTTTTAAGTTGGATTGTTCAGTACGTTTTTACATTAGTTTAATGTTTAAAATTCGAACAAATTAAAGTAGTAGGCGTGGAGGCTGCACATGATATTAGGCTCTCAATACTAAAACGTTACCGTTCTTGTCAAATGTATAGTTTTTACTAGCAATCCTGAATTTAGTGCGGCAAAATTAAATAACTGCCCGGATATCAGATTTGATAATAAGGGCGACAAACATGACTATCGTTTACTGAAAAATTTCCCAATTTAAAACTTTTGACTATCGTTTACTAAAATATTTCCCAATTTAAAACTTTTGCTTTTTTTAATTAGACATCTTGTAGTGAACGAACATCGCACTGTTGAAACGAAACTGGAGAAAAGTCAAACAGACAACGACAAAATGGAACTAATACCATCAATTACTGTAAACGCAGTTGTATACAATACTGCATGTATCCTATAATGATTCGATTTATCCCTGGGGCTCATTTCTCGCAGGTTGTAACTTCACGGGTCATACAATACAATACAATAACTTTATTTAATAAGCAGTTAAGGAAAAGTAGCCCAGATAGTCGCTTAAAAAACAGCCCATAATGTTTCGTTGTCTGACATTTTTTTTTTTAGTTTCATAGATATTGATATCCGGAAAAAAGCATTTTTGGGACCTATGATTACCGGAACTTTGAATAAATGTGTTCCTGAGCAGTAAAAAGACTAAATTTGTCTGTTTCATTTTAAGGCGGAGAAACATTGTGCATTTACCTTTCTTATAACTTCGCGTCCATTTGTTGTTCCCCGACCACACTATCCGCTTAAATAATGAGAAAAACTGCGTAAAACACGTCGCTTATTGTGGGTTGGCTGCTAAACTGAATCATTTTAGCACAAGGCTGTCAATAAAGAATGATTTAGTGAAGAAAACAACATTCCTTTCAGTTAGTTTCCGCTTGTTCACTATTTTGTTTAAAAAGCTGTTATCTCAGACAAATTTGCGAGTTCGACCGCATACTATTATCGTATTGAACCGTATTCTTGAGTAGAAATAGTACTGTAGGCTTAAAAATTCAGGTTATGGGTCAGTATAATGACGTTTGGAGGAACGGCCAAGACGTCATGCTTGTGAGGTGGGACTACGTGAATAAACTAATCATTATTATACATATATATATATCCGGCATCAAGGGTTTCAGTCTTAGCGTTAATTGGGAGTTTTAGTACAATTCTCACCTTTCCAAGTCAAAACTGGTTCCTTTACATTTTCAGTGGATTCGACAATTTTTCCATTACTTTTTATAGTGATAATTTTTCGTGTAGTAATTACTGTGTTTGTTTATATGTGTCACCACGCCCTATATAAATCTATTTAAGGAATTTTTAAGTCATTGTACTACAACGGATGAAGGTCTCGGACCGAAACGTTTTTTATTAAAAT